CTCCACAACCTTGTGGTTTCCAGCTCTGAACTACTTGTTTCAAATCTTTTAATCGCATTATTTCCGACAAAAAATTTCACAGAAAATGTTTCATTTTAATGTCTCCATATGAAATAATATAAACAGCTAAACAGCAGAACATGTTGCAATCCAGGCTTGCATCTTCAATGCAGAAAGAAAGTATCAATAAAAGTTCTTATGTTGTGGTTTGACCCAACCACTCCCAGGCTTAAGCACTTTGCAACTAGACCAGAAATGCAACTTTAACTTCCCGGCAGAGGAAAGCAACACAGTGGCCAGGATAAGTGTCTTCCATCTGAAACTCTATGTGGGTTTTTTTTCTGTTCTTCATACTGTTACTGGTGAGAAACCCTAAGCATGCGGTATCTTCTGTTATGGAGGTGAAACAATGCAGCGATAGGGTTTATCAGTAAAGGGTTAAGATCTGCTCCACCTTGTAAAACACTCAGGTATTTATTTAGTCTTCTTTGGCCCTGGAAAAGGCACTTTTACCCATGTACGTTGTCCTAAGTAGTAAAATTATGCTTTCTGGCCTCTTAATTTAAAGCTCTAATTTTCTTCTATTAGGTGTTTTGCCTGTTGGGTACACGTGAGTCCAGCTCTCCGCTCTGATTAATACTGAACACTTCCTGTGTTCACCACATAGTTGACCATTTTCCTACTCAGTTTAAATAAACTGGTATGATTAGTGGTCAGCAGGCTGGAGACGCGACCTCGCTAATACAGCTCTGCTCTCTTTATTTTACCAAGATGTAGAGTGTCTCCAGCGGCAAGCACATCTGGAAAGTTGTGAGCCACCAGGGTTCCCTCAGCACATGTGTCTTTCATCTTTAGATTGGTGTTTGCATCCCATCTTGCTTAGGGGATGTGAGCACTTCAGAAGCCATCTGATGACAGGATCCAGAAGATAGTGGAGGGCACTAACTATCCTAGAGATGATAGGTGGATTTCAAATTATAAGGGCTGATGCAAGTGAAGAAAAAGACCTAAACATCTTACTCGATTTTAAAAAACAATCCTACAATTTAGAGAAATGTGAAAACAGGTAGAACATCTATCTCTATGTCCACATGTTAGCTTTTATTTATTTAAGAAAATGTATTATGTCTTCTTTGAATATACACTGCTGTCTATGTCTTGCAATATATTCCACACGAAAAAAGGTGCAGTACCATGTATTGACATATTGTATATGCCAGCTACCACGAGTTTATTAGAAAAAGTAAAGGAGTGTCTAAAAGATTTACACATCCTAACAATTCACCTCTTGGGAAACTGCAATAGTTTTTGTAGCATCATCTGTGAAATGGATTTGATTGATGTATCAAATTTCCTTAGGTCTAGAACCAGCCTGACTCCTCCTGCCCCTGGCAGATTATAAAATACACAGAGTACAAGCCATCTTTAATGTCTTCATGCGAAATGGGCTAAATGGTGCCTTGGAACATCTGTTCCAGGAGCTCCTCCAACACAGATTTCTTTCTATAATGGAAAAGCTTTGTGAAACAGTCTTCGGGATGCAAATACCTGAGGCAAGCTCTTCTCACAAGGAAGTGCTTCAGTTTGCCTTGCAAATCTGCACCCTTCAGGTTTCAGTCCAAAGGTTCTCAGCAGTTGCCATCACAGAGAAGGGGCACTCCAAGAGTAGCCTTTTCTCTTACTCCTTCCCATCTGTATTGCAATTTACAGGCTAGGTTATCATAACACAGGTCATCTATCTGCCCTTTCTTTGTGGGATGTAAGGGAAATTGGAAAGACTCATCTTTCCTTTAGTAGAGGTGCTGAACATAAGGGCTTCTCAAGTCTATTCATAGAGAGACAGGTAGATATCTGTTCTTCAAACAGATCCAGTACATTTAATGCAAATCTAAAGAGGATGTGCTGGCCATTGATGGGGAATTTTAGGCATTAATTTTGGTTCAAAGGATTGTGCACCGAAATACAAGCACAGACTTTGGCACTCATCTAAAAAAGATATGGGTTTTTTTCTTTTTATTTTAAATTGGTATTTTGAGATTTGTAAGAGTGTTTCTTTAGGATACGTCTGTATTTTCCACATCCTTTAGTTTATCAATTATGTGGCTGGAAAGATGTGATTTTCAAAAAGTCCAAGATGGTTTCAGTGAATGTCCAAGTATTTTGAGTAAGAACTGTATACTTATAGTACCTGTATATTATCTATATCCTCAGAGCATCCCATCCAAAATTCACTTTCTTTTAACAAGAAGTAAGGCAATGAGATGCCAGCGAGGTACTTGAGTTTCCCAGGCTTTACCCTTTACTAACAGAACACTGAAGTTGGTCTAAGAAACAGCAAAATACCTGACCTTCCTCCTCCATCCTCTTCCCCCCACGAATTGCTGCCTCTGAAGTCCTATCCTTGCTAATGGAATTCTTCTATCCCCAATAATTATGATTTTAACTATTTTGTGTTTTGTCCACTTAAACTATAGTTACCTCTGGAAGTTTTCTGAACTGCTATAATGTACAGCACAAGTGACAGAGACTTTTATGAGAACTGTGCAGGCATCCTGGTGTTCTGCATTTCTGCATTTTGTTTCTGGGGATAGAAACACTAAGACACATCCAGACTTCCTTCTAAAGTGCCCTAAAAGGTGGATGGTGGTTTACTACAATACCTACATTGTAGTGAACAGTGAGTGATTAAGACAACTACATTCAGAGATGAGAGACTTAATTTTCCCATCTAGTCAATAGGTAAAGGAAAGTGCCATATTCAGACCATGTAGTTTTAGAACTCCTAACTTTGATTGCACTTTGCTCCCCTAGAAAATCAACAGTCCAAGTTCCACCAGAGCTGCTTATGTTACGAGTGGAAGGAAGAGAAATGCCAGGACCCCTACAGAAATCAATAGGAAACAAACTATCTAAAAAAAAACTATTTACAGATTAGCTTCTAGACCTCACCAAGAGCAAACTGTTATCACCCTCCGCTCCTTGGCATAGACGGAAGGAACTCCATACTACCTTCCTCATGAATTGCTAGTAACTCCTGTAAATCAGCTGTGCTCTAACTGGGATTGTTGCACAGTGATTACTATGTCAATTTTCAAAAGATCATGAAATATTTTCTGATAAAATTCTATTATCACCTTTCCCATTTTATGAGGATTTTTCTTAATGACTAGTATTTGACAGAGAACATATAGGTATTTATTGATGTACATATGTATTATTACTGGAATAACATGGGATCCTGAGAAAAACTACGACCTATGTAATTCCATGTAATATTCACAGCAGCTAATACAGGTACCTCTGTGAAATTTTTTCAGTTCTTAACCACAGCCTACTATATACGGAAGGAAAGCAGTCAAAAAGCAATGTCAGCCTCTGTAGATTGATTAGCACCTCAAATGCATGTGTAACTGTTTGGAATAAATAAACCACTGTGTTTGATTATGATAGTAAAAGTAAACTGAGTATCAAGCCTGCTGGCTTGCCAGAAGCAATTTTCTTGAGCTCTTGAGTTTTGCTTTTTTTTTTCCCTTTATCATTTTTGATAGTGTAGATTCAAAGTTTTTGACATCAGCTGAAATCACAGCAGCAGTTGCACCATAACCTAAGCACCAAGAAACTCAGTCACCATTATCTCTTAAAGAAACTGCTAGACATCCTGCACTTGCCCATCAGGATAGCCATAGCAGTTGCCCATCAGCCTGACCTAACACAGCTTCTCTTCCAGGTTCTGAAACAGCAGTTCCCTGCGCAAGGAAACAGCCTCCCTGTTGCATCAAACTCCCATAACTTTTAAGACTGTCCATTTATGACCAATTTTGTTGGCAAATGTAAGCAAATGAGGAAATGCTACGGATTCAGATATCTGAGAAAATGCTTATAGCCACCCAGCTGGCCACCATCTTGCCCAAATGGAAAGAATACTTCCAAAGTCTTTCTATAAGATGTGACCTTACAGAATGCTGAAACAAAAGTCATACAACTTTCATACCTGGTTCCTAAGAGGAATCCAACTGAGGAGTGCTGAAAGCTTTTCTTATATTTTTATTGGTTAGAAAGGTGAATCTACCCAACCAAAAACGTGTTCCCTGGAAATGGGAACAAAATACTTTTTAGATAGCTCATTAATTTTTGCATGATTCTTTCATTTCACCCCAGTGCATTATGATGTCTGTCATCAGTATATGGACTCTTGAGTAAATGGACACTGACAACATATTTTGAATATAGAGTCCAATATCCCAAAAAAGAGAAAGATGAATTGGTTAATCACATTGCTACTGCATTAATTTGGTTACTACCAGTGACCTGTATGTCTAAATGGCATTTATGCCATGGTATGATAGCCAAAACATATGAATTTTAGAAGGAATTTATCTAAGCCTCTCACTGTCTGTATTTTTAATAGAATCAACCGAAGCACACAGCATTCAACTCTCAAAGAAGCAAACTACATTATAATAGTTCACCCTGAATAGTTTCTTGGGATAGGGGGAAGTAAGGCGCAAAATTTTCAAAGGGAAGAGGCCCATTTTTGCTCATAAAAAATTATCTGCAAACTTGTGACAGCATTTATGTGGGCAACTATTGACATTATATAAGCAGATCCTGCAAATACACTTGCAAATGATCAGTACAGGCACCCAGCTGTAGCTGATGTTTTGCTTGTACCTTTGTGAATACTCTCCTGGTAACTGCATGCATTAATGCACAATGAGGATTATATTTTATGCAAGCATTTTTAGCACAAACACACCTCCACCCTCCTTGTTTGAAATGTGAGTGGTAGTGTATTAAAAAATATTTGGAAGACAGACTTATTAAAATAAATGTTAAGAGAACACAGTGGGGTATATTTTCAGTGTGGAGCAGGGAGATTTAGCTGCATGACTTCCATTAGCTTTAATGAGAACCACAGAGCTAAATCCGCACACACCACACTAGAAGATTAACCCAGAAAACACACATTGTTTACTTTTTACTAATACTCTGATTATTACCACGTTCTTCCTCCTCCTCCTCTTCTTCCTCCTCCTCTTCTTCCTCCTCCTCTTCATCCTCCACATCTTCACCTTCCTCTTCATCCTCCTCTTCTTCCTCTTCAATCTCCTCTTCTTCTTCTCGATCTATCTCCTCATCATCCTCCTCCTCATCACCTTGCTCCTCATTATCATCAGAATATTCCTCCTCTTCTTCATCCTCTTCCTCTTCTTCCTCTTCCTTTTCATCCATCTCCTCTGTTCCATCAGTTTCATAGCACTCATCTACCGAAGAGTTGTCTGCTTTAACCACAAAGGGTTTTCTTTTCGGAGCTGGTTCTTGGGGTTGCTTATCTTGTGTTTTTCGTTTTTTTGCCAAAGGACAGCCATAAACACTGTGCAAAAAGAAAAGATGCAGATTATTACACTATCCTGCAGATTTCTGTAGGTGAGATTGTATAACTCATGTCATTCAGTCATATAATCTAATTCTACGCCATGATTGGTTGTTCTCAAAATCCATGTTTTCAAACTAAAATGCTTCTTAGGCAATAATGACCAAGGTGGAGGACACTTACAAAACCTGTGAAATTGCAAACAATTATTATTTGTCTCAAAGTGTCACACGTACATTTCAGCATAACATTTACAGAACTGATACAAATATGTGTTTTTCCTTTTCATTCTTTTCCTTCTTCTTCATGTTACACTTTTTTCTAAGGCAGATGAATATAGTTTAAAAAACGTACCTGTTAGCTATCAGTACAACAATCAGGAATAAAGCAATGCTTCACAATTTTGTAATATTCAATAAGGCTTTGACTCTGTACAATTAAGATATGTTCCAACACTATTTAAATATTGAAAATACGACCACATTCTCAACACTGTTATTTGTTGTTATTATTATAAATGATGAATTGCTCTTTAATTCTCCACTGCTATGCTCTGTTATATGCTACAAGGCTGGGTAAATGGTAAAGCAAACTGCCCAACACAACCAAACCAAACAGTTTTCATGGCCAGTGTTGGAAGTGTTCTCATATCGAAAAAAATCAAACAACAAACAAAATCCTTTGTCAGTGAAGGAAGTCAAAATTTTCAAAGTTGTGTACCACTTCCTCATTGAAAATTTTAATGTACTGTAAAATAAATAGCACCTCAGAGTTCTGGTCTTCTACCAGAGTAGCCACCTGTTTCTCAAAGGTCATATGATCTGTGTTTGATGAATGTGATCACCCTTGTGTAAGCCCTATAACCCCCTGCAGAGAGTGACTGCCCACACAAATCACTTCTTGTTTAAAGAACTTCCTCTTTGAACTTTTTAATTGTGTGATTATAAATACTACTCAAGCTACATTGGTGTTCAGTCTTCTTCCTGTGATTAAATAGTTTTGGGACACTTAAACTGTTCTTCCGAGCCCTTTCTGCATATCTACTTATAACTTCCTCTTTACGATGTATTTTTCTTCTTTTTATCCTGACTACAATACACAGATGAGCTTTATCACTTTTTTTCCATTCTAATAATGTTTCATATTCTACTGATAGACCACTGAAAAACAGGGGATTTTACTGTGTTTAGTACTTCACTGCATAAAGAGATGCACTCTTCATGGTGTCTGCATGCTCTTGATCTTGGTGTGATTTAATTGCATCCCAGCAGCTATGCAAACCAATAATTGAAACAGCTGCTTAGATAAGGGGCACTTTAATTAAGTGCCTAACCATTTTATTTAAGTGCCTAACTTAGCCACTGTCTTACCTCAATTTAAAGTACTTGCTTGAAGGAAGGTGGACTCAGACTGCCTGGCACGTGCATATCTAATGAACATACAGTCACAAAAATGGTATCCATCATGGCAAACCTGCTAAGTGAGACCTCCTCTGCATAACACAGACACCTCTCTCTCTGTGTAGGGACTATAGGTGTTTTTAAAGCCAAATCTAGTGTGCCTAAATTAAACACTTCCTTCCACTAACCCTATCAAGACATAATGAGTAAATTTTAAGTACCTCCATCTAGCCAGATTCCAATTATTTGGGAGTGGACATGGGGTAGAAGTCTTAAGGGGATATAGTTTCCAGACACCAACACCAAAGTTGATGCCCAGTGGTGCAGGCTACAGGGAGAATAGATCCACATCCTCCAGATCCATGGACCACACTCCATCCAGATCACATAGCATATCCTGGGGAAGAGTATCCGCTCCTAGGAGATGAGCCCCTGCACATCTGGCTGCAAGTAACTCAGTCTGATACAGAACAGGCACACAAAAGCCCAATCCTTCACTAACTTAAGAGTCCTAAATCTGGGAAAAGAGGACCACAAAGCTTCTGGTGTTTCCTCTTTGGACTACATTTGTTTCAGTCCAAAGACACTTCAACATATATTCCATAAATATGGTGGAAATCCTTGTCCCCAGGTTGCCACTACTGCTCACTGCCAAATGACTGCCCTGTCTCTTGTCCTCTGAGTCCTCCTTTGGTCAGGCCCCAGCTGCTCAGAACTGAATCACAGAATCATAGAATGGTTTGGGTTGGAAGGGACCTTAAAGATCATCTAGTTCCAACCCCCCTGCCATGGGCAGGGACACCTTCCACTAGACCAGGTTGCTCAAAGCCTCATCCAGCCTGGCCTTGAACACTTTCAGGGATGGGCCATCCACAGCTTCTCTGGGCAACCTGTTCCAGTGCCTCACCACCCTCTCTGTGAAGAATTTCTTCCTGATATCTAATCTAAACCTCCCTGTTTTCAATTTGTACCCATTACCCCTTGTCCTATCACTACAGGCCCTTGTAAAAAGTCCTCTCCCAGCACCCTTGTAGCCCCTTCAGATACTGGAAAGCTGCAATGAGGTCTCCTCGGAGCCTCCTCTTCTCCAGGCTGAACAAGCCCAACTCTCTCAGCCTTTCGTCATAGGAGAGCTGCTCCAGCCCTCTGAGCATCTTTGTGGCCTCCGCTGGACTCGCTCCAAGTGGTCTATATCCTTCTGATGTTGAGGGCTCCACAGCTGGATGCAGCACTCCAGGTGGGGGCTCACCAGAGCAGAGTACAGGGGCAGAATCCCCTCCCTCGACCTGCTGGCCACACTTCTCTGGATCCAGCCCAGGAGACGGTTGGCTTTCTGGGCTGCCAGCGCCCACTGCCGGCTCATGTTCAGTTTTTCGTCCACCAGCACCCTTTCTGAGAAGAAAGGTGGGATGTATCTTCATGGAAATTATCTTACATCACCCCTGTTCGGGCAGGTAGAGGAGTTTGATCTCCACCAGTCTGGATGGTGCCTAGAACTGGGGGCAAAAGGGAAGCACTGTTGTTGTTCTGACCACACCAGCTTTATTTTGGTGCTTCCCCTGGTGTTGTGGGGGTTCAGGAGCTGTTTATTTAAACTCTCCATATGGAGCTCTGAGAGAAGGCAGGCAAATTTTTCCTCAGAAATGGGATTTCAGAGTGTGTGCAGTGCCCAGGGAAACAGCTGGATAAGTAGGGAGTAACCTGTTTCTTTAGGCGCCTAACAAAGGCGGCATCCTGGAAAACAGGAGTGGGTCACAGCCTAGGGCTCAGGCAGATTTTAGACACTTGCATATCAGTTCGATGGGATTTAAGCATAACATTTATTGAGTGGATGTGACTTGCTTTCTTGATTTCTGTTCCTACACTTTGTGATGCAAATTACCACCACTATAGATTCTTCAATGCCATTCTCATTAAACAATATTTTCTCAACATCCTGATCTTTATTTTCAAAGATGTGAGTAGGCTTAGCCCCAGCAATCCCCAGGATTTCATTTCTTATTATTATAACGTTCTTACAACTAAGAGGTAAAGATGACACTTCAGGCAGCTCTGAGCTAAAACCATCAAAGCTAAAGGGCACCAGTAGATGTGAAACTGCAAAAATTTTTGGCCACTGGAGCTGACCAGTGGAGACCAGTAACGAGCAGCG